CACACACACACAGAAACACAGAGATTTCTTGCTTTAGAGAAAGATTGTAAATAAAAAAACAACAACTATTTTTGCAACTTTCACTTTCCCCCACAATTCATTGCAAAAAAATAAAAATCCTGGAGGACTGCGTTATGGAGGCTTATATAGAGCTTTTCTATGTGGACTGAAATGACTCTGCAAAGGTACTCAGAAGGCTGCTTTCTTAAACAAATAACTACCGAATGATAATGTCAACTGACCGATAATTAATAATGTATACATATACAGGCACTATATGGGCACTTATTTACGTATATAGACAGAGAGAGATGCATTGTGAAACAGTAGATTTAAACAGTGAACATGCATCCGTTTCCCAGTTGTTCTCAGGGGTGAGAAAGAAAGCAATGAAAATGAAAAGATGAAAAATATCTTAGCATGATATTTTGTTTTGTGATATTGTCTTGATTCTCAAGAACACTACTGATTTTTGCGATTGCACACCATATACTCTATATATAAAACCTCCATATATCGCCTTGCTTCCCATATCACAATACACAACAATATATTGAATCGTGATACGTGTTGGAAGCTCTTGCCAATACACAGCTGTGATTCTTCTTAAGGTTTGAATGTCAGGTGGCATTGTAATTGTAAAAACTTTTTAAGAGTGCACTTAATACAAAAAAAAAGATCCGGCCATATTTAATGTTTGAATTTATATAACGGGCTATTATGAGAACCGCTTTGAGAAAGACACAAGGGCAGTGGTATCCTCTGTGTTGTGTGTGTTTGTGTACCTTAGCGGCAGGTGCTGCTGTATCTTGGTAATGAGCCCCATGCTGGGATCCGAGCGCATGTACATCGTGGCGAGGATCGCTATGACGACAAAGAGCCAGGAGGAAGGGCTGGCGGGGTACACTCCCTTGATCACTCTGTTCTGTTACCACAGAAGAAGAGACAACAGGCGTTGTGATTAGTTTTCCACTGGAGCACAGCGGCTCCTCTTAGAGACAACTGCAGGTTATTCCTTAAGCGAGAACGTTCGAAAATCTGATTCTCAGCTTTAAAGTTAGAAACATTTTCACATGCATTCTGTATCCACTTTCTCCAACAAAAAGTTACACAAGCCCCTGAATACCCTAAACACCCTAAACATTAAAGTGACATCAAGTGTATCAGTGGCAAAAATGCACGTCAGTACATGTTAGGATGCTCATCCTTCCTCACCTATACAGATGGGAATTTACACCCTGTAATTAGGCCTTCAGCTCCCCCCGGAACACTAATTACACCCCCTCACACCTCCTCCAGATTATAACCAGACCCAGTTTTCAGCAGTGACCCAGAAGGAAAATCTGTGGACTTTAGCTGAGTGAGGTTTTTTTTGCTTGTAATGAGATAGACAATTAGATAACAAAGATTGTTTTTGAGCAGAAATACACCAAAACCACCAAAAATTACAACAGACTGAAAGAAATATATAGCAGATTTTAGTAGAACCTTTAGATTTGATTTAATGTAAAAGACGACTAGCATAAGGTTCAATGTGGAGCAGAGAAAAAACTAATTTGCAAAACCATTAACCATTAATCATTTATCAAGTAGCTTAAATCTTCTGTTAACAATTTCCACTGTGGCTGAGCTAGAGATATATGATGTACAGTAACCAATGACAACAACAAAAAATAAAGACCAGAAGCAAAAGGCATCACAGACTGCTGTTTTCATGCCTAGACACCATGACTCAGCAGAACCTACACCCCGCTCACTGTACTGACTGGCTAACCTAATTATTACACATTAGATCTAAGTAACAGACGTTTAAGAAGAACACGAGCAGGGATATCCAGTCATTCTCACCCTCATTCGGCTGACTCGTTTCTTCCACGATCGTACCCCAGACAGGTAGATCTGGTTCAGGGCCTGATAGGACAGCTGCAGGTCAATCCCCTCTGGCGTTATGGTGAACTGGAACGCCACCGCCTGGTGGGCCTCTGCCATCACTGTGGAAACACAAGTGAACAAAGATGTACCCATCAATATCGCTCCTTGAATTAATTATTGTAACTTCTATAAAAATAACTTTTTGTCATATTTGCTGAAACTTTCACTATATCCTGACAGTAGAACATAAAACAGATAATCTGTCTGCTGGTGAAAAATCTGGTGTCCTCCTAGTGCGCCTATGCATTTGCAAGATCAACGCGGCCTCGAAGAAAAAACAGCCAATCAGAGCTAAGAAAGATTAACAAACTCAGTGCAAATCAGACTCATCTTTCTTGGCTCGATTGGTTGTTTGCTCAGGGCCCAGGTTCTGCAGCCTAGGCGTTATGGTTAACATCAAACCATCGTTGCGAGAACCAAATTGGTTGATCTGTCAGACGGCAGAGCTGCACAAACCAATGATTGTACAGTACGATTAATCTTGTCAATTATTTCTTGATAATCGACTATCTGTTTGGTCCATAAAATGGCGGAAAAAATGTTTCACAACAAGGCCAACGGTGACAAGTCAAACTTTTCGTGTTTTACAGCACAGAAGAACTAAAAGAAACCTCAGTAATTGGTAAACCAGGCAATATGTCACATTTGGAGAAGCTGAGAATTTGAATTTTTTTCTTAATAAGTGACTCAAAACAATTAAAGATCGATTATCCCAAAAGATGGCGTTGATAGTTGACAATGGTATCGATAATCTTTGCAGCTTCTGAACAACACAATCTGTGTTTTGCTATGTTACTTGTGTTCATCTGTAAACCCAACAGCCTAGTAACACGACACAGACACACACAACACACACACACACACACACACACATACACATCAGCATAGTACGGGTACTAATGTATAGTTACTATAGTATATATATCTACTCTTATTGAGCTCTGGGATGTGGCATACCATATTACCTGACCAGCGATTTTATACTCAAGCTAGTTTTCTACTTTATGAATCAGTGTATAACAGCTACTTTTTATAAGCAAAGCCAGGCTGTATGAACCCTCTGTGTGCAGATACTTGAGTAATTTAATGTGTCCAGTGGAATGTTGTTGTCTCACTGCTGCAGCAAACAAGAAACACTGAGTAAACACTGGCTCATAAGATACACTGCTCATGTATGGTAGGTTTAATTAGGTAGACATACAACAAATCGATCGTTGTCATTTTAAACGATGGTAATATAAAAATAATACAGATCCCTCCAGCCT